CAATCCTCCCATCTACCCATCTCATCCATCCATCCATCCATCCATCCTCCCATCTACCCATCTCATCCACTATTCCACTTATGGCATTGTTCATGATTACACCCTCTCACCAACTCATTCATTCATTTATTCATTTGGTTCACTTATGATATAATTTTATGTTACCTCAGACATGAAATACTTCGTCTTGGTGTTGGCCAAGCCCTGGAAAACATTCTTGAGAGAATGAAAGACAAAATCACTAAAAAAAGGTAAATATATTATGCTCTTTTCTTTGACTTTTCTTTATGCTACAATTACCTGAACCCCTTGCAAACTTTTATTTGTTTAGTTTATTTGCGCCAATAGACTAATTTGACTTTGCATACCATATAAGGCATGATGAATGAGAGATGTTTGTATCCAAGCTAGACCACAGTGCACCATTTAAACTATTTGAAAAAGAAAAGTTAACTATCTCACATCACCATATAAGGCATGATGTCAAAACGTATCCCAAAACTAGACGAGAATGCACTAGCTTGCTATCTCAGAAAAGATATAATGGCCTATTAGTTCAGGCACAAAGTGCCGCCAACTGTTGGCTCAGTTGGTTGAGCATCGGACTGTCTGTTCTCCCATGCATCCGTCTTTGCATTCATCCATTCATCCACCACCTAATCCACCTTCCGGCCGCGTTTGAGTTCAGGCCGCTAATATCAGAGCGACATAAAAGAACCACTGAGGACATAAAGAAAGCCTTGCAGTGACCACCCTCAGTGCCTACACCTCATACTAATCATCTCTCAGGGGCAGATCCATKATTTTTTCAAAGGGGGGGTTGTAGCATTGGTTGAGGTACTTGTTTGGCGGGAAAGTAGCACAGGGTTCCCAAACGGGGGTAGGTATTATGATAATGATTATTTGCTGCAGGCGAGCATGGTTGTTTCAGGTCCCACACACGGAGTATAGAAAAAAAAAGAGTGAAATGTGTTCGGCACCCCTGTTTTAATAAAACTCACAATGCTGTTGGTGTTGCCATGAAAATAATAATAATAATAATAATAATAATAATAATAATAAATCACTATGGCTCTCATAGGGGGGTTGCAACCCCCAAAACCCACCCCTAGATCCGCCACTGTCTCTCATGTTTGTGAGTTGCATAAAAAGTAATCTGGAATTCATAACTCAATTTAAAGCCTCTTTGATTATCCATCCAGAAAAGGCGCTATGTAAATCACAAATCATTATTATTATCATATAGTATAATACATATATATTAACCTAGACATTCTATCTACCAAACCAATTGAAAGCTCTGCATGTTTTTCCTCAGTCCATCATATCACAGACTGTGTCTATACTCCGTACATGATACAACTATCATCTGCATGCTTGTTTGTTTGGGATTGTACAACAATGAGTGGCCTGACTTTAGTGCAGATCTGGCATTTGAGCTTTACAAAAAAAAGGTAATTAGAATGGTAACAATGATGAAGGTGATGATGACATCAACAATAATAATAATGACGATAATAATTATGATAGTTTATGATGATGATAACGATGATAATGGTATTGATGATGATAATGATGGTGATAATGACGTGATGTTGATAATTATGATGACCATTATTAAAACGATAATCATAATAACAGTGATTATGATGATGATGATGATGCAAATGATGATTATGATGTTGATGATAAATGATGATTGTCCTTATTTTACGAGGGTAGCAGTTTATAGCGAGTGGCTAACAAAACGTGTTCCTCTTAACATGATMGAATTGGAATTTAGAAATTGATTTTTGCGGAACAAAACCGGAGAAACCTGAGAAACACCTTTGAAGCACAGGAGAGGACCAACTTTCTCACATATGAAACTGAGCCCGGGAATCGAACCTGGGTCGCCTCAGTAATAATAATAATGATGATAATAATAATAATAAAAATAATAACAATAGTACTGAAGATGATGATAATGATGATAATGATGATGATGGTGGTGGTGATGATGGTGCTGAGGTTGATGATGATGATGGCGATTGGTGATGGTGGTGATGAAGATGATGGTGATGGTGGTGGTGATGGTGATGGTGATGGTGGTGGTGATGGTGATGGTGGTGGTGATGATGGTGATGGTGATGGTGGTGATGATGGTGGTGGTGATGGTGACTGTGATGGTGGTGATGGTGGTGGTGGTGATGATGTTGGTGATGAAGATGATGGTGATGATGATAGTGATGGTGATGGTGATGGTGATGGTGATGATGATAGTGATGGTGATGGTGATGTTGGTCATGGTCGTGGTCATGGTGGTGATGACATAATTATACATTTACATTTGAAGCCACATGATTTTTACTAAAATGTTTCAAATTCTTAATAATGTTTACTAGGATGGACAATATTTTGTAAAAATTTTACTACAGGGAAAGGTAAGTTTATGACAGCTCAGAGTTCGAACAATGAAACAACCTCTGGGCTGATCCAAGTCAGGGCGTGGCTAACTCACAGGTCAAACCCTGAAACAACCTCTGGGCTGATCTAAGTCAGGCCTCGGCTGACTCACAGATCAAACCCTGAAACAATCTCTAGGCTGATTTAAGTCGGGATCGATTGTATTAAATAGATATGAATATTTCATTTGATTATATGAATTTTTTAAAGAATATTATTGAATAGATATTTGTCTTTAGCGGGATAAGAATGAATGCATTGAATGACCTTAGGAGGATTAAATTTTGCCGCTACCAGCCTGTCATGCTCTACATCATGAATTTTGTAAAAATGGTCCAAGTGGGGTCCCAGTAGGGCAATTTTCCCCCATGGGGTCCCAGTAGGGCAACTTTCACCATGGGGTCACAATAGGGGAACTTTCCCCATGGGGTCTTAGTAGGGCAACTTTTTCCCATGGGGTCACAATAAGGGAACTTTCCTCATGGGGTCACAATAGGGGAACTTTCCTCATGGGGTCTTAGTAGGGCAACTTTTCCCATGGGGTTTTACTAGGGCAACTTTCCCAATAGGGTGTTAGTAGGGCAACTTTATACCATTGGGTTATAATAGGGCAACGTTTCCCCATAGGGTCCTAGTAAGGCATTTTTCCTCCATGGGTTTTTTGTAAGCACTCTACATTAACTGGCGTCGTGCTTTATATTAGGAACAAATACTTCCAGGAGCGACAAGTGCTATGTATCCCTTTGAAAAGTAAGTAATTTGCTTTATTTATTTTATTTTGCTTTGTTTTARTGTAATTACTTTGTTTTCTGTATCCACCCTATACATTATATTAACGGGCGTAAAAAACGCTACGTTCAAACGTAGATTATTTTTGAAAAAATAATTAAAAATTCAGTTTTCAAAAATATCTGGATACGAGCGAACAGGGCCTAAAATTTCAAACTTGTCCCAGTACCCTGGTCGTTTTTGAAATGGTCAATTATGCAAGTAGCATATTTTACTTGTGTTTCGTGAAAAAAAAAAAAAAAACACAGGGGAAAACCCTGAATATTAATATTTTATTGTTCAAAGATTCCGAAAGCTGATCACTTCATACTCAGTAGAAGACTGGCATCAGGAATGTAACCAACAGCACCATTAACAATACCACACTCAAATGCTTGGTTTCACTCGCATGACGTCATTTCCTGTCTCATAAGGCCTAGGCCTTTTCTGAGTTCGATAAAGCAGGATGCATTGTGGTCATTCGGTACAAGCAACACCTTATAAGGCATGATGTTTGTACCCAAGCTAGACCACAATGCACCGTGTTCGCTATCTCATAAAAGGTCTATGTTCATCAGCTGAATCACAAGTTTTCAATTAGCAATTCCGTAGTTGAGGAAACAATCGCTGGAGATATTTCCTAGATGGCATTTATTTTATCACCTAAAACAGTCCCATAATGCACTGCAAAATGCCAACTCGACCCAGTTTTTTTCTCAAACTCGAAATGGCTAATAGAATAGACCTCTTAACCTTGGTCATTAATGTTTCCTATTTCAGACCACTTGTCATTCCCTATAGTCTTTTTGTTTGTTTGTTTAACAGTTGTGCATGAGAAAACCCATGAAAATGGATACAACTCAAACAAATAATCTTACTGTCAAGGGAATGACTCGTGGTCTGAAATTGGAAAACATTACGCCCAAGATGAAGAAGTTTATCCTTTCTGGCGGACAGAAAAAGGCGATCATGATGGAATTTAAAGTCTTATATGAACTGATTCTAATTTAGCTATCAATACATCTCTAAACTTTTATACGATGAACACTTTTAAAACTTTTTTTTCGCTAATTTGGGTCCCAAAATGGGGGTTGGTGGGTGATGAGGTTGGTTATGACATTTGCTTTAGTGGGGCCCTTATTTCACAAGTACATTGTTGCCTTTATTCTGCTGGGTTCCTTTTAACAGAGCTTTGCTTGATTCACAAAATATAATATATATACAATGGACTACTCCGACGATAAGGCGGCCATCTTGGATCGTAAGGCATCATGGGGCGTCCAGGGGGCAAATAAGCTTTTGTTACAGTAACGACGTCGCTTGATATTAAAGCTTAAGATTTCACCACAAGAGAAAAGAACAACAAAAGGTGGATTAATTAGTTTAAGCTTAGTAAAGAGTGTCCTCTGTTGCTCAGGGCTAGCCAGTCGATTTTGTGTGGAATAATCCATGTGTTCCAGAGAAGGTCCGTGGGATCCCAAAGTCTTTGAAGCTATAGCGTTGGTATTTGTGAATATTTAGACACTGATACGAGGTTAACCCTGAGTAAATGTAATAATGTAATAACGTTAACTCGAAAAAGGTCATTTGACTAAAGAAATAGGGGTAAGGGATTCTTGTTATTTACAATATATAATTATTATATGATCACCAAATTTGTCCCATTTTTATTAATATAAAAAATTGTTAATATAATAATGTAAATGGAATTAGGCAACAGCTAAATCCTAATCTGTTTACTGTTTGCCAATATTTAAGAATAAGGTACATGATTTTAAATAAACAACTATGGATAATATCGAAAAGTTGGTTGCTCAAACGATCTTTGTTTTCTTTCAGTTTTTATTCATACATTCTCCCTTTCGTTCGTTCCTTCCCGGTTTTCCTCCCTCCCTCTCTACCTCCATCCTTTCATCCATCCTTCCCAATATTTCTCTATTTATCCCCCATCCTTCCATCCATTCATCCCTATATCCATCCGACCCTACATCCAACTATAATTTATCCCTTAATCTCTCCCTCCGTCCATATAATCTCGGCGTGCGACGAATAACGAGGGCTCTATCCCTTTTTTGAGACCAGAATTTCTTGGACTTCCGGTATGACAATACAATCGTTCAAAAACGTCACAGCCAAAAAAAAAAAGATGATAATGATGATGATGACAATAATAATAAAAAWAATAATGTTTTCGATTTCTATTTTTTATTTCGATCGGAAGTCAAGAAGGTATTATATTTCACTTCCGGAAAATTGCGCATCCGCCAAAAATAGATTATGCCAGAGCCCTCGTTCTTCGCCGCAGGCCAGAAGAAACGTAGGATCTGGGTACGAGATTTCCATCCATCTGGTGATTATGATGGTGATGGTGATGGTGATGGTGATGGTGATGGTGATGTTGATGTTGATGTTGATGTTGATGGTGATGGTGATGGTGGTGGTGATGTTGATGGTGGTGGTGATGGTGATGATGATGATGGTGATGATGATGATGATTATTATCATTATTCTTTTGGATTTCACAGCTTGTCGGAATTTTACATTACATAGACTCAAAGTAATTAAATAATAATAAAAAATAATAATAATAATACTAAATAGTATAAGTATTAATGGCTTGCAATCATTCCCAAAAGGATAAAAATAACAAAAAGAACATGGCAGCCATGTAAGATGATATAACAAAATAGACTAATGACGAATCTTTGGTTAAATTCATCCAACATGGCGGATGTACAAACCATCAATACTAGTAATAGCAACTTTCCTTTAGCTCAGGTAGGTGTAGCTTTATTCCTCCTACTCGCTTTCTCAGCTATATATGACGTGTTAGTTTTTCTATACTCATTTTCTATACTCAGCAGGAAAAGGAAAGTAACGTGTGTTGTTTCCAACTCTTCTTCTTTCAAATGAAACTTCAAGCGTTTTTCAATGACCATGTTTGCAATGCTGTCAACTGCTCGACCAAACACATTGTCTTCACCAAGTCTTTCGCTGCTTTCTAGCATTTCAAACCAAGTTAGAAACCCATTTTGTTCACAAAAACTGTCCATTGCTTGTTTGTCTTTGAATATCTTGTTTTCTCCAAGCCATTGTACGGAACAAGTGTTGTCAGTGAGTAACACGAAAGGAAAGTGATCGTCTTTGGCAGATGGTAGATTTTCTTGAACGGCTTCTTTCCATTTTACTGCTCCATCGAGAGAAGAAGGCATCGTTGGACCCCAAAATACCACAGCCCCAACAGGAGGTCCTATCTTCAAATAAGTTCTCATCATTCGGCTGTGCCTTTCCTGTTCACCCAACATCACGAACATAGTTCTTTGTTGACGTGTGGATAAAACTGGTAAGGTGACTTTCTTTTCGTACAGGCGTAAAATCTACTCCCATTATAGGTCGGTCTTTACGTCCTTTATTTCCCATACATTGGTCCACATAAATCTCTTTTGATTTACCACCAGTCCAGTCACCAACACATAAGATACAAACTCTTTCATGTATGGACCAAGGTCCATCCATTTCCGGTCTCTGATCTGCTGCATTGGTTTTGAAGGTTTTCAGCTCGACCTCCTTGCCTAACTTACTGACCAACTGTGTGATTTCAGGCTCTGGAGTTTCATAACTACAAGAATACGCCATTTGCTTCAACTGTTTATAATAATTTTAAACAATTTGGAAATAATAGTTCAAGTTTGTACGTAAGTAAAAGTTAAGAATGAGGAATATACCACAGGAAAACCAAAATAAGGAAATCGATATTTATCGGTCACGCAAAAAGACATGCAGGGGAAGGTCAACGAAAAGACACTTTTTTCAATTTTAATTCATTTTTACTTTCTTCTCCCTTGTTAGTTTATTTTTCGGAGATACTAGTACAAAGGCTAATTCACAATCCGAAGGAAAATTAATTGTATGGTATGCATATCGTGAAGAAAGGTCTTTACTAGAGGCCACTTCATTATTGACATCGATTCATATCAGTTTTCCTCGTCTTATGTAGAAGTTTTAACACTATCGGGTTATCATTTGTGATGCCGAAATCTTGTCCCTCTACGCAAAACAATTCGCTTTCTCAGCTATATATAACTTATTAGATTATCAATACTTATTGAGCAGCAGGAAAAGGAAAGTAACGTGTTGTTTCCAACTCTTCTTCTTTCAAATGAAACTTCAAGCGTTTTTCAAGGACCATGTTTACAATGATGTCAACTGCTCGACCAAACACATTGTCTTCACCAAGTCTTTCGCTGCTTTCTAGCATTTCAAACCAAGTTAGAAACCCATTTTGTTCACAAAAACTGTCCATTGCTTGTTTGTCTTTAAACATCTTGCCTTCTCCCAGCCATTCTACTGAACGAGTGTTGTTAATGAGTAACACGAAAGGAAAGTGATCGTCTTTGGCAGATGGTAGATTTTCATGAACGATTTCTTTCCATTTTACTGTCCATCGAGAGAAGAAGGCATCGTTGGACCAAAAAATACCACATCACCAACGGGAGGTCCTATCTTCAAAACAGGGTTGGTCATGAAAGGCGTGTGCCTTTCATGTTCACCAAGAATTAAGAATATAATTCTTTGTTCGTATGAAAAACTGGGGAAGGTAACTTTCTTTTTGTACAGACGAAAATCTGCGCCCATTATAGGTCGGTATTCAAAGCTTTTATTTCCCATATAATGGTCCACATAAGTCGGTGTTGATCTACCACCAGTAAAGTCACCAACACATACGATGGCCAGACGTTCATCCATTTCCGGTCTCTGATCTGTTGCATTGGTTTTGAAGGTTTTCAGCTCGACCTTCTTGCCTAACTTGTTGACCAACTGTGTGTTTTCAGGCTCCGGAGTTTCATAACTACAAGAATACGCCATTTGCTTCAACTATTTATCAAAGTTTTAAACAGTTTGGAAATAATAGTTCAAGTTTGTACGTAAAAAGTTATAAGTGACTATGAGGAATATACCACAGGCAACCCAAAATTTAAAAAATCGATATTTTACCGGTCACGCAAACAGAAAGGAAGGGGAGGGTGAACAAAGGGAGACTTTTTTACTCGGGCTACCCGCAGGATAAGCCCGAGTCTATGTTTACCTTTTTGCCAATCTGTCGTGCAACGTTTTGGAAATCACAGGTAGTCCAGCGATCACTAATTGGCTTACTACAGGTAGTTCAAGAGTTCAAGAGAAGAATCATATATTTTGTGGCCACTGCAATATAACTGCGTAGCCACTATGCCATAGTCGTGAATGAGTGAGGGAATGTTGACACATGACGTCATCAATCACGTGACTACATAAAACTGTAAAGGCCTATTTACACGGCACGATTTGCCGCGCGCGACTTGACGTATACGGCAAATTTTGGTACCATTTACACGAGCACAACTTGTCGCACGCGGCACGAAAAAAACGCGAGCAATTTACTCGTCAAATTACATGACTATTTCTCATTACAGCAAATGTTTCTTGTAAAATGCCACCATTCACAGTTGAGAAGTGCAGTAAATAATCATGTCTACCTTGTTATTTGATGAGATCATTCAGAATTTTTGCACTTCGTGTTTAATTAACGGTAAAGACGTTTTCATGGAAATCCGCCATTTTGTTTTGGAATCAACTAGTTCCATAGCGAATCTCGCTCAAAAACGTCATTTTTACGTCATTTTCCTACGGCATGTAGTAGGATTTTAAGCCAAAGTTTAAAATGCTACGACAAGTCTTGAGGCCGCGTACGTCTGTTGTAGGACCATTTACACGACCCGATTTTGAGCTGATTTTGCCGTATACGTCAAGTCGCGCGCGGCAAATCGTGCCGTGTAAATAGGCCTTAATAAATCTACAAAAATTTGACCACTGTGAAAAGAATCTTCGATTATTTTTCATTCGAGATGAAGATAATTTCTCTCATAATAAAAAAACATGCAGTGAAATCGAATCGAAATGCACTACATTGTTTGTTTATTTTTTGCGCGAGTATACTCTCCCTCTTAGTAATTTTGCACACAAATCACCACCACCCCCAGGGGCTAGTTTTGTTCTTGGTAGATTCTTCGACAAAGTTTCCCAAGGCCGACAGTTTTAGGCTTTGAATCTCTTTGACCATGGCGAGGTCATTTAAATTGATATTTTTGGTGGTTACATTGTTTGTAAACGAATTTTATTGCTCTCACAAAAGGTGTTCAGTATGTAAGCACTACGAGAACAAAGCAAAGTCAGCCACAAGTTTTAAGAGTGATTTCAAGCAGTGTTTTGGAATTGAAACAACTGGCGAGCAACTGTTCTACGTGTATAAGGGCAGTCGCCGAATTTCGAAAAAGCGGAAAAACTTTCCTCCACGTAAGTAGTTTTTTCCCCCATAAATTTACCAAAAGTAGAATCTGCATATGTTTGATACAAGGTATGATCACTGAGTTTGCACTTTGTTGCAGCTCGCTCAACAAAGCCGGGGAAAGGGGAAGACCGAGAAAAAAAGCCTATGACGGGTGCGGGTGTAGCTCCTTCGACAATTTCAACCAGCATTCAAACCGAAGCTGTAGCAAACACTTTGGATATGAATGTAATGGGTGGAAAGTTAAAGACACGTGTTTTTGCCAGATCCTCCGTGGCCATGGCGGCAAAACCATTCTCCCCCCTGGACTTTTTGAGGAAGTTTCACAACACATGAAAGGACTATCACAACGTAAGTCATATTTATTTCAGTTCTTTTTAAATTCAAAATGCTTACCATTGACATATTCTATTTCAGGTTGCGACCTCCAGACAGAACTACAGCTATTGCCGCGAACAATACTATTTAATGAATTC